AATTACATTAACATAGCAGATAGAGAAAGCTAGCATCATTAGGCTAGACATGTATTGCTTACTTTATGTCACTAAAGTTAACATCTATATTTACCTTATCATCTTTAAGTTGGTTGATGACACTATCAGGTATATTTCGCGTTTTCAGGAAAGAGAATAAGTCCATTTCTGCATCCATTTCGGTTACCGCAGCGTCAAGTCGGCTTCCCGCATGAATGGAGCCATAGTCATTTTCTTGGATAGTCCAGATAAAGTGTGAGACGAACCAACAGGGTGGACAGGATGTCAGTGCTGCAGGTTTTTACAGAGCGACTCATGACCTGGAGAGTTTCAGGCTGATGTCAGGACACAGTGAGGTTATCTGCTCCATCACAGACCAACAGCTGGTCTACAGAGATATAATAAATCTATAATTTCTGACTCTTTCTCGCTCTCTTTCTCCCCCCCCTTTCTCTCACTTTCTGTCTCTTTCTGTCTGTCTGTCTGTCTCTCTCTCTTTCTGTCTCTCTCTCTCTTTAAAAACATAATCCGCACTGTAACCAATGATCAGCTGTCTTTTCCACATTTTTTAACTGATTGATGTATWTTTAATTATTAATTTACATTAGCACTTTATTTTAAAAMGGACAGATTTTAACAATGCAAATATAAAAATAGTGGGTTGGGGTTTTTGTAAAAATAAAAAATAAAATCTCTCTCTGTCTGAGTCGGAGCAGAACACCTGGTGCGACTTTGCACGCACCACATTGATGCTGCACTCAGGTGGTTGAGCAGTTCAGCTATTAATTGTTGGTTCTATTCCTAGCTCCTCTGTTACACGTGTGAGAAGCCARTGAGCTCAACAAATCTGAGTGGGATCCTTTATTGTTTTTCCAAAAAAAGTGAGTTGCTTTAGATAAAGGTGTAATTTTAATGTAACACAGTCAGTGGTGTTGGCAGAAATGAAAGAGTCAGATCACATCACTCACCACAGTCCACAGTCCTCGTGGCTGTTGTCAGAGCAGTTGGGTGCGTGGTCACACCTCCAGGCCTGGCCGATGCATTGCCTGTCTCCACAMTGATACTCTCAAGCTGCACATTCATGAGGGGTCTGTGGCCGAGGCTGGGTCGAACCACACAGCTCCGGGGTCTCATCTCGTCCATCCATCCATCCTGCTCACACCACATACAGCCCACATATTGCATGAAGTGATGACAGTCGGGCCAGATCTGAGTCACAAGTAAGCCGAAGCAATTCCACACATTAACCAAAGGTTCCAAATGTGGCCTGAACTTGTTTGTGTTATTCGGGCCATATTCWCTATTTAACAACATTTTTGTSGATTTTTCAGGTAATAATTCATGGATCTTGACCCTCTGCACATTTTTCCTGCCTGTTTGYGCATTATTCGGAAACATGTGAATCACAACTGTTACACATATGGTGCAATAACTACACACATACACTCCACACAGTTAAAGTCATCACTTCATTTGCAAC